AGGGTGGGTGATGGGTATTGAGTAGGGCACCTTTTGGGATGAGCACTGGGTGTTGTATGGAAACCAATTTGACAATAAATTTCATATATAAATAAAAAAAAATTAAATGGCTATAATCTTTAAGGGCAGAAAGTTTACATCATTCCCTTTTTCTTTGAATTCTTCTCTCCATTCACATCCCCACAGGATTTTATCCTAATGTCATAAAATTTTTGTTTTAAGTATTTTATGACTATTGATCATGACAATATTTCTTCAGAACAAAAATATAAATTAAATTTTAATGTTTTATTTCCTTCAGCCAGAAGGTAATAAATGTTAAAACATTTCTTTTTTTTTTAAGTTTTTTTTTTTTTGAAAGAGATCGCAAGCGGGAGAGGGGCAGAGAGAGAGAGAGAGGGAGACAGAGAATCCCAAGTGGGCTCTGTGTTATCAACGCAGAGCCCAATGCGGGGCTCAAACTCACAAACTGTGAGATCATGACCTGAGCTGAAACCAAGAGTTGGATGCTTAACTGACTGAGCCACCCAGGCACCCCTAAAACATTTCTTTTGAGTTTAGTTATGATTCAATGATTAGCAGTCCAAAACAGCTCAAGGAACACAAATACAATACAAATTTTGGTAGATAACTTTAAGACATAAACATACATTTTTATTGGAAATGCATTTCTTCAATATGTGGTTAGGGTTTTTCATCCAACTAGTTATTATATCCATAGAATATTACATAATATTTAGGAACAAAATTCAGCTTCAACTATGTTTTTATATTTTTATGACAGTAAGTGCTAAGAAACCTTTTCATATCAATAAGTATATGTGAATGGACAGTTTTATTATGCCATTGTCATTCAATTTTCTTGAACTCTCAGTTACATGCCAAAAGATCATATAATCCTTTTTTGAAAAATAATATTTTAACAATCATCTGACAACTTGATTAGGTTCCCCTTATATTTTACATAAAGCAAAGATCTGTAAACTGTATTACTTAGAAAAGGATTTGTTACTCAAGATTACCGCCATTCAGTTTCTCCATTTCTGGGAAGTAATACTGTGGTAAGAAGCCTCTACAATGGCCCTCCACTGATCCCCACTTCCTGGAATTTGACCCCTTATACAATCTGTTCTCCTTGAGCATGGGCTAGACGTAGGGACTCAATTCTAACAAACAGAATATGACAAAAGTGATGTCACTTCAGAGGTTAGGTTACATGAAGATCTTGGCTTTTCTCATTGACTCCCTCTGAGTGAAGCCTGCTGCCATGTTATGAGCTTTCTTTTGTTTTTTTAATTGTTTTAATGTTTATTTATTCTTGAGACAGAGAGAGAGAAAGAAAGAGAGAGTGTGCGCGGGCGCGCGCCTGAGCGGGGAGGGGCAGAGAGGGAGACACAGAATCCAAAGGAGGCTCCAGGCTCCCAGCTGTCAGCACAGAGCCCGACGTGGGGCTTGAACTCACAAGCCGTGAGATCATGACCTGAGCCGAAGTCGGATGCTTAACCGACTGAGCCACCCAGGCACCCCAGTGTTATGAGCTGTCTTTTTTTTTTTTTAACACTTTTTAAATGTTTTTATTTATTTTTGAGACAGAGAGAGACTGAATGTGAGAAGGGAGGAACAGAAAGAGAGGGAGACACAGAATCTGAAGCAGGCTCCAGGCTCTGGGCTGACGAGCTATCACCCCAGAGACTGGTGCAGGGCTCGAACTCACAGACTGTGAGATCATGACCTGAGCTGAAGTCGACTGCTTAACCGACTAAGCCACCCAGGTGCCCCACCCAATGTTATGAGCTGTCTTAAAGAGAAGCCCGTATGGCAAGGAGCTGAGAAAGGTCTTCAGCCAATAGCTAGCAAGGGACTAAGATCCTCAGTCCAACAGTGATAAATTTCATTTCATTGAAATTAATACAGTTTGCTCTATGAAAACACCAATAAGAAAGCACTATGAAAAGATGCAGACTGGGAGAAAACATTTGCAAGTCACATTCCTGACAAAGAGCTTGTATCCAAGAATACAGGCATACCTCATTTTATTGTGCTTCGAAGATACTGCTTTTTACAAATGTAAGGTTTATGGCAACCCTGCATCGAGCAAGTCCATCGGCGCCACTTTTCCAACAGCATTTGCTCACTTTTTGTCTCTGTCTCACATTTTGGTAATTCTCGCAATATTTCAAACATAGTCATTGTTATTATATTTGTTATGGTGATCTGTGATCAGTGATCTCATTTTTTTTGAGAGAGAGAGAGAACACACATAAGCGGGGGAGGGGCAGATAGAGAGAGAGAGAGGGAGAGAGAGAGAATCCCAAGCAGTCTCCATGATAACAGGGTGAAGATCAGAACTGCGAGATCAGACCTCAGCCAAAACCAAGAGTCGGAGGCTCAACTGACTGAGCCACCCCGGTACCCCAATGGTTACCATTTTTTAGCAATAAAGTACTTTCTAACTAAATTATGTACATTGTTTTTTGAACATAATACTATTGCACACTTAAAAGATGACAGTATAGGGGTGCCTGGGTGGCTCAGTCGATTAAGCATACAACTTCAGCTCAGGTCGTGATCTCGTGGTTTGTGGGTTCAACCCCCGCACCGGGCTCTGTGCTGACAGCTTAGAGCCTGGAGCCTGCTTCGGATTCTGTGTCTCCCTCTCTCTCTGCCTCTCCCCCGCCCATGCTTTGTCTCTCTCTCAAAAATAAATAAACACTAAAAAAATTTTTTTAAGGTGACAGTATAGTGTAAACATAACTTTTATATGCACTACCAATCCAAAAAATTCATTTGACTCACTTTAGTCCAGTGTTAGCTTTATTGTGATGGTCTGGGACCAAAACCACAACGTCTCCAAGGGATGCCTATGTATAAAAAAAAAATATCAAAATTCACCTGTAAGAAAAAAATGCAATACAAATGGACAAATGGTCTGCACAGACGTTTCACCACAGACGGTATATAAATATCAAATAAGCATATGAAAAGATGCTCGACATCATTCACTATTTGGGAAGTGAGTCTTAAAACCATAATGGGATCCAACTATTTATCTGTTAGAATGGAGCAACTTTCAAAACCTGACACGTGGTTTGTCAGGATGAGCACAGGGTGACATTTGGAAGTGTTGAATCACTATATTGTACACCTGAAACTAATATAACACTGTATGTTCATGAGCTGGAGTTAAAACAGAAACTTGATAAAGAGAATAAACACCTGACAAGTGCTAAGGAAGTCACGGAGCAAGTGGTGGGAGTGAAAAGTGGCACAGCCACTCAGGAAGACAGTTTGGCAGTTGATTATAAAGTTAAATGCACACTTGGGGCGCCTGGGTGGCTCAGTCGGTTGAGCGTCCGACTTCGGCTCAAGTCATGATCTCACGGTTCATGATTTTGAGCCCCACGTTGGGCTCTGTGCTGACAGCTCAGACAGAGCCTGGAGCCTGCTTCAGATTCTGTGTCTCTCTCTCTGCCTCTCCCCTGCTCGTGCGCTGTCTCTCTCTGTCTCAAAAATAAATAAAAACATTTAAAAAACCAAAAGAAAATAAATTTAAATGCACGCTTACCACGTGACTCGGCAATACTACCCTAGCTTGTCAAGCTAGAGAGGTTAAACTTATATTCAGCAATAACCTGTGCGTGAATGTTCCAAGCAGCTTTATTCATAATTGCTAACACTGAAAACAACCAAATGTTCTTCAAGAAGCAAATGAAGAAACCGTGGTACATCTATATAATGGAAAACCACTCAGCACTAAAATGGAACACAGATGAAGCTCAAAGCCAGTCTCAAAAGATTATCTACCGTATGATTGCATCTATCTGGTATTTTGGGGGTTTTTTTAAGTTTTTTTTTTTTTTTTAAGAGAGAGAGAGAGCAGGGGAGGGGCAGAGAGAGAGGGAGAGAAAGAATCCCAAGCAGGCTCCATGGTGTCAGCACAGAGCCTGATGCAGGGCTTGATCCCACGAACCGAACTGTGAGATCATGACCTGAGCTGAAATCAAGAGTTGGATGCTCAAGACTTAGCCACCCAGGTGCTCCTAAAGTTTATTTTGAGAGAGAGAGAGAGGGAGGGAGGAAGGGAGGGAGAGAGAGAGACAGAGAGACAGAGAGAGAGAGAGAGAATGAGCAGGGCAGGGACAGATAAGGAGAAAAAGAATCCCAAGCAGGCTCTGCACTGTCAGCATGGAGCCCAATGCAGGGCACAAACTCACGAACTGTGAGATCATGACCTGAGCTGAAACCAAGAGTCGGTTGCTCAACCAACTGAGCCACAGGCGCCCTCCCGCTGTTGGATATTTAGCCTGTTGCCAGTTAGTTTGCTAAGATAAGCTACAGCGCTACAGGGAACGACCCGGCGCATACATCTTTTTGCAAGTATAATGATAAGTTAAATCTCTAAAAGTAGGATTACCAGGTCCTAGGGTATGTGTAATTTGAGTTTTTATACCTACTGACAGATTGCCCTCTATCGAAGCAAGCAGAACTTTTAGAATGAGTCATGTGTGCATTCTGCAGTGCCCCATCCCAAACTCTTGAATTCTCTCTTTCATAGGATCATGCCGATATTGAGTGGAAATTTGCAAGGACAAAGCTCTGGATGAGTTACTTTGATGAAGGTGGCACCTTGCCACCTCCTTTCAATATCATCCCCAGTCCCAAGTCATTTCTCTACCTTGGTAACTGGTTCAACAACACCTTCTGCCCCAAAAGAGACCCTGATGGGAGACGGAGGAGGCACAACTTGAGAAGCTTCACAGTAAGGCTTTTAAAAATTATGTTTTGGTTTTTTTAAAACAGAACTGTTTTCTATCTCCCCCCACCCCCAACACCCTTGGTGACAGTCCGTATATTAAACATCAAAAAATCACTTCAACCCCCCGATGTTTGGGGGCTTGTCAGGCAGGAGCTCCTCCGTTATTCTCTAGCCCTAATATTTAGAAATATATTCGAGTGGATGGGTTGCTGGGAGACCACTGATCTAAGCTCTCTGTCCATTTTCAATCACAGGAACGCCATGCTGACAGCCTGATACAGAATCAACATTACCAGGTAAAGCTCGTCCCAGGGACTAAGCACAATAGTTCTTGGTCAGTTGTGTGACCTTGGACAAGTCACTTAACCTCAGCGAGCCTCAGTTTCTGCATCTGTGAAATGGGGGGGGGGGGACATTTAAGTCACAGTATTGTCGCGAGAATTGAGTGGTGAGCATGTATGTACGATGAAGTGTGCATGTGCACGCGTGCCTGTGTGTACGTGTGGCCTGCCTGGCACAATGCCTGCCACGTCTCATCACCACTACTAATACAAAGCGGAGCACATCCCCAGGAGGCTAAGTGAAAAGGGGCCATCCCTGTGAAGGACAGGTGATATTTAAGAAAAATATCTGGGCTGGGGCGGCTGGCCGGCTCAGTCTGTAGAGCACATGACTCTTAATCTCAGGGTGGTGAGTTCGAGCCCCACGTTGGGCGTGGAGCCTACTAAATAACTAAATGAATATCTGGATTATGTAATTAGTGGACATTGAGATCAGTAGACTTTGTGACACCGAAGAATGACTTTCTCAATTTTCTAAAAGGAAGAACACTCATCTTACTGGGAGGGTTAAAGTTTCATCCAGCTTGAAGGAGGAAGGGTATTGACCATGTCCCTTCAAGGATTATTCCATTCTCATCATTGTATAGATGGGAATCTGTGTTTGCTTTGTGTGTGGGCAGAAATTTTTCCCTTTGGGTAAAGCTGCTCTTATGAGCCCACTCTGCCACCAAATTTGGACACTTGCAGAAAATGACTGGATCCTGGGAGAATGTGCTATTGCAAAGACAGTCTAAGCATATTTTATTTCTTGGATGTGTTTCTTATTTTACTGAGAGCCTGAGAAGAAAACTGAATGCTTCTTTATGTGTGTTTTTTTGTTGTTGTTGTTGTTGTTGTTGTTGTTGTTAATTTCCAGGAAGTTATCAGGAATTTAGTCAAAAGATACGTGGCCGCTATGATAAGAAATTCCAAAACGAACGAGGGACTGACAGAAGAAAATTTTAAGGTGATTTAATCACAAAGTGGTTGAATTTCTCATTTCACATTTCTTAAGCATCTTTTGATCTTCGCCAAGTTTGAGGTTTCTGGTGATAATTTCAACCTCCTATAACCCACCAACACCAGCTAGAATTTTTACTTTCTCTCCGAGTGGTCTGTCCCCCAGAAAGGGGAGAGATTTCGCCAATGTCTCTTGCCACAATCAGCTTTATGAACGAAAGACATTTGCCTTATTCTTTTAATATTCTGGGTGTCTCACGGTATGGGAATTGAAATTGAATGATATGGCAAGGACGTATCGTGAGGGGCAAGATAGCAAAAGGACATATAAAGGCCTTCTTTAAAGATACAAGATGAAGACCAACCAATCCATTATTAAATCTTCCTTTTCATTTTTCTAATGCTTATGTATCTTAGAGAGAGAGAGAGAGAGAGAGCGCAAGCAGTGGAGGAGCAGAGAGAGACAGACTCTGAAGCCGGCTCCAGGCTCCGAGCTGTCAGCACAGAGCCTGACACAGGACTCGAACCCGCGAACCGCGAGATCATGACCTGAGCCGAAGTCGGACGCTTAACCATCTGAGCCACCCAGGCACCCCTTCCATCTAAGATTTAACAAACCCTATCATTACACATTAAAACTCTCCTAATACTGGCATGAGCCCAAAGCAGTGGTTCTCAGTCAGAGGCAATTTTGTTCTTTAGGGCACATTTGGCGATGTCTGGAGGCAATTTTGGTGGTCACACCAGACGTGTGTGCCAGTGGCATCTAGTGGGTGGAGACCGAGATTGCTACTAAACATCCTACAACGCCCAGGACAGCCCCCCACGACCCAGACTCTCAACATGGCAAGTGACTGAAGACCCCTACCTTAGAACACAGGTATATTTTCTAAGGAACATAAACAGGCCGTTATCCTAACCCACAGATGGAAGTCATCTCGTGAGGGCCTGCTACGTGCCAAGCACTCCCCTGGGTGCTGGGGTACAGTGATGAGCAAGACCTAAGCAGCCCCCACTCTTGTGGTGTGTCACGCACTAATGATCGAAGGTGACACATGACTGGATCTTCTGACAGGATCGACACAGGGCGCTGTGGAGACAGGAGAGACACTCAAGTGGGATTTGGGATGTCAGAGCAGCTTTTCAGAAGAAGCCGTGTTTAAGCTGAGGAGCCAGATAAAGGGGAGTTGCGGAGGAGAGTGTCCTAGGCAGACAGACCAGCACAGGCAAAGGCCCAGAGGCAAGAGACGGTATGTCTACGCAGGTGGACAGCAGGAGAGCGAAATGTTCCCACTTAAGCTTTGAGAAGGTGGTCTTTAAAGGAAAACTCTAGGGGCGCCTGCGTGGCTCAGTTGGTTAAGCGTCCGATTTCGGCTCAGGTCATGATCTCACGGTTCTGGGTTCGAGACCCGCATCAGGCTGCTCATTGTCAGCACGGAGCCCGGGGCCTGCTTGGGACCCTCTATCCCCCTGTCCACGCTGCCCCTCCTGCGCTTGCGTGCGCTCTCTCAAAAATAAACAAACACTAAAGGAGCAATCTAGCATCTAGGCAGTCAAAGATAGAAGAATTTCCTGGGGACCTGTGTAGACAGGGACCCCTGTCCTCAAACAGCAGTCTCTAACCTGACATGTTCTACCTCCCTAGTTTTATTCCATGGGGTCCTAAAAGCTTTTCCCTCTGCCGCAGTCTTTGTATATGCAGATACGCCTATGAGAGCTAGTGCCCTAATCGAATACCTTAATCACTAGTTAACGTTGTAATAGGGACAGGTCTGCTGCTGTCCTGTTGATAAGGACCATCTGAAATCACCGTTACTAATTGCACGATGTTGCCAATGGCCACCCCTGCCCACAGAATTATTAATATATTTTTCTTGTACTGGAATAATGTGAGATTTTGCCGGTAGTTTGGGTACTTTGTGATTTGCCATTAGGCAAAGCCTGGAACGTTCCGAAGGACACCCAGTGAGCCTATCTTGAACAGAAGGCCACGCTTAACATAACGTATCTTCTCTCTTGCCCCAGGAATTAAAGCAGGACATCTCCAGCTTTCGATATGAAGTACTCGACCTCTTAGGAAATAGGAAACACTCAAGGAGAAGCTTTTCCGCGAGCAGCACCGAACTGTCCCAGAGGGATGATACCAATGATGGCAGTGGTGGGGCTCGGGCCAAATCCAAGAGTGTCTCTTTCAATTTAGGCTGCAAGAAAAAGGCCTGCCACGGGCCACCTCTCATCAGAACCATGCCAAGAGCCGGCGGTGCCCAAGGGAAGTCAAAAGCCGAGTCATCAAGCAAACGCTCCTTCATGGGTCCTTCTCTCAAGAAACTCGGTCTCCTATTCTCCAAGTTTAACGGTCATATGTCTGAACCCAGTTCAGAGCCAATGTGCACCATTTCGGATGGCATCGCTCAGCAGCACTATATGTGGCAGGACATCAGGTATTCTCAGATGGAGACCGGGAAAGCAGAGGCCTGCTCTCAAAGTGAAATTAACCTCAGTGAGGTAGAATTAGGGGAAGCCCGGGGCGCTGCTCAGAGCCGTGAATGCCCTCTAGCCTGTTCCAGCTCTCTCCACTGTGCATCCAGCATCTGTTCCTCGAATTCTAAACTTTTAGACTCCTCAGAGGACGTCTTTGAAACTTGGGGAGAGGCTTGCGACCTGCTCATGCACAAATGGGGTGACGGACAGGAAGAACAAGTTACAACTCGGCTCTAAGTCAGACCCCTACCACCTGTTCTGGAACTCAAGAGAAACTTTGTAATTTCCTTGCTCTCAAAGGTGACACGGCGGACGACTCCCTCATTGCCCTGAGCCACCCCAGCCCCACCCCTCCCCCACCCCTCCCCCACCGCCCCCCCAGAAAGGGGAGTGAAACTCCTATTATTTTCACTGTCTTTTATAGCCACATTTTCCATGTTCCGTTCTTGTGATTATGATTCTCGTTACTGCTATTATTTGCCTTTTTATACCTATTAACACTAAGTCCATTTCACAACCGACTGAAGGGGTGTTTGCCCCTGGTCAGCAGAGGTGCAGTGGGTGCTTAACCCCTTGGCTTTGCTTTTCTTACCCTTGCTTCCTTGAAGCTCCAGGTGCCACTTTGCTACTGTTGCTGCCGCTCAGATTCCTGACCTTCCTCAGGGTCTCACCGCATTTCCCCACGAGACTGAGGGAGGTGCTCAGCAGTCCCCACCAGCTATCAAATAAGGCAAAGCAACCTGCCTGTCTCCGTCGCCCATCAGTGCTCCACGCTGCCCATTCTGGTCCAATGAACAGCATCAAAGGGAGACTGAACAGACTCCAAAGAATTGTCAGCTTGTGGTTTCTAGGTATAACTGGCCTTCTTGTTGTTTTTGTTTTTAAACACGACAACTTCTGTGCTCGCTTCGGCTGCACACACACTTAAACACGACAACTTCTCCTGATCGTGGGGGCGGTTGGCTTCTTTGGTTTCTTAAAGATGTGCTAGTTGCCCTAATATTTACCACGTAGTATGTGTCGTATCTAATAAGTTAGTGAATTCCTTTCTTGTGTTTGTGTGTTTCCGTTCCTTACGGCATTTTAAAATGCGACAGTATCGAGATTAGTATTTAGGATGTGTCCCGTTTTTAAAAAACTTCTGCACTCTAACCAGTAGTCACTACATCTCAGAGGTTGGCAAGAAAAATAATTAGCTGGTACATTCATAGGGTCCTATCTACTGTGGATAGTTTTAATCATCATTGCTATCGAAAGCATTTCTAAGGTAAAAGTCTGGGTTTGAAAATGTTTTTTAATCAGAAAGATAACCTCTTGTTAAGGTGTTGAAATCTGAAAAGAGCATCTTCGTGAAAAAAACAATGTTGGGTCTAGATAACCTGATTCAGGTTGCAGTTTGAATATTCATGGGGGACAGTGAAATTGCATGTGTAAACTTATGTTAGACATATAACGTGACCTTAGTGAATTCATGGAACTATAAACGTGATCCGACTTCTACTGTCTTCACAGAAAGCAGCATTTATACATACAAATTATTTGCCACAGCTTGAGAGTACCTCATCAGATTCCAAAGGTTAAAAATGAAGGTTAAAAAATGAAGTCCATAATACATATGGTTATCATGTTGATCCAATAACCCCTGAGAGATAATCTGCTGACCAACAGTGGGTTTGGGGGGGGGTTTATTTTTTTTTTCTACCAACATTAGCACAAAGTTATCCCCAACTTACACTCTAACATATGATCCAAACAGCCCTAGGTCTGGGTACTAGAGAGTAAATTAACAGTGCGCAGCTCAGAAAACTCAGAAGGTTAGGATGTTCTGTTCCTGTAAATTGCAACAGTAACAGAAATCCATCTAAAACCATGTGTGTACTTTCTGGTAAAAGTAAGTATGATGAAGCATTTTCAAATAATGCCTATATGCCTCCAAGAGAGCTTGTGACAGTGTAGTTTCTGTTATTTGAACAGATTCCCATTTCCAGCCCTAGCTTTGGTGACTGATGGTCAAAATATTTCACATGAACATGAGGTTCACATGAACAAGAAATGAGGAGGGGGAGAACAGGAGGAAGTGTTGAAGAATAAAGCTCAGATCCAAGGAAAAACCATCAAGAGAACGAGACGCATCAAGACCCACATGGCAACAGACTGTCCCCAAGTAATTCTCTGATCATATCTCAAGTGATTGTTTACTCAAATTCAGCTTCTCTCCTGCTTCACCAAGTGGGACTATCATAAATGGCCTTAACGTCAATAACAGGCTATTTTCCAGAAGGAAAGTTCCTAAATTTACAGATTCGACTTTTGCAATTGTCAGATTCACTTTCAATAATAAATAGAACCTGGGCTACATCCCTAATTCATATTAATGGCACCCAAACCCAATACATGGCCCTACTTCATCAAAAGAAAAAGGTATCGGGGCGCCTGGGTGGCGCAGTCGGTTGGGCGTCCGACTTCGGCCAGGTCACGATCTCGCGGTCCGGGAGTTCGAGCCCTGCGTCGGGCTCTGGGCCGACGGCTCGGAGCCCGGAGCCTGTTTCCGATTCTGTGTCTCCCTCTCTCTCTCTGCCCCTCCCCCGTTCATGCTCTGTCTCTGTCCCCAAAATAAATAAACGTTGAAAAAAAAAAAAAAAGGAAAAGGTATCTCTTTCTCACAAATGCACGTACTTATGATAACCTAGGTATAATTGTTCTGGCAGTTACTCTATTGATTTGTCAGAAAACGAGGGTAGCCACACAGCCATGCTCCAAAACAGTCTTTTCTCGGTTAGGTTCTAAAGAGAGAGTATGTATAAATTATAGCAGCCAATCTGTACTACTAAGAGAAACTAGTGTCATATTTCATGGGCAGTACATTTCTTTCCAGATCTCCTCAGGGTTATCGTCTTTATGACTTGGCTTACAACTTCACTAGCTACCTTGAGCCCTGGTTATGATGGACATTTTTATTAACTGTAACTCAGAAAAATAGGAACTCTTAACACAGAAAAGAAGGAAAAGAGATTTGTGTTCACCTCTGGACCTCTGTAGACGCTCTGGACCGGCTACTATCAACAAAGGCATTTCAAATACAGTGCTTAAATATGCCATCTGACCCTAGAGAAGGTCTAAGCTGATGTGAGAGTAAATTTATAAACAAAGAAAATTAGAGCTAAGAAAAAACCTCAGAGAGAACCTACTCTATTGCAACCTCTTGTTTTACAAATAGAAAAAAAAAAAAGGTCCAGAGAAGAATAATGACTTGTTCAGGGTCACAGAGCCAATCAATAAACCCAAGCCTTCTAAATCACAGAAACAAGACATTTGTTATTAAGCATATATATTATATATCATACATACGAGATGTGAAAATGGAATAGCTGCTATATGTACGTTTTTGTCCATTTGCCTACAAACTTCAGAGTGACATATTTTTTAAAGTTTATTTATTTATTTTGAGAGAGAGAGACAGAGAGGGTGAGTGTGTGTGTGGGGTGGGGGGCAGAGAGGGACGAGGAGAGAGAATCTCAAGCAGGCTCCACATCACCAGTGCAGAGCCTGATGCGGGGCTCGATCCCATGAACTGTGAGATCATGATGTGAGCCAAAAAAAAAGTTGGGCACTTAACCCACTGAGCCACCTCGGCGCCCCGAGGCTGACATATTTTAAATGTAAAGCTAAAAATGTGCCCCAAAGTCAAATATAGTAATACATGGTATGAGTCATTTACTACTTGTCTAAATACCTAATACCATGGTTCATCTCCATTATAGTTGGCCTTCTTCTCACTTCTAGACACCTGTACTTATTTGGTTGATTCCATCATAATTACATCAGAGTGTCCCCGATCATTAGCAAGGGTAAAAATCTTGCAATGAAAATGACCATTGTTGAAGTATCTCTACCACGCCTAACTTTAAGTCCAGGGGAGTACAAATTCAGAGGAAAGACTTTAGCTTTAAGTCTAGGGGAGTACAGAGGAAAGACTTCAAATTCAATTTTCACTCTTCTCTGGCCTAATTTAGGCTATTTAAGCTAAGTCCAAAACATCTAAACATCTGTCTGCAATTTGATTAAAGAACTTAAAGAAAAAAACCTAGGGCCTCTACCTTTTGTGAATGACTTCAATAATAATCAAATACTTTTTCAGTAAGAACTTCACAGTTCTTAGGGCAGTGCAAACCTCTCCTGTAAATTTCATTGAATTTCAGTGAAAGACATGAGTTGACACCTTAGCCAGAAAATAGCAGTGGCCATTTGATATTCCTATGGCCTTGTGAGTGAGACTCAAGTGGTATTTTGACTGAACAGTTTAGGTGGCTCAGACCTTGCTTTATTAAATCATCAGGTAAAAAGTACCTGAAGTTATTAGGCAGACATTCTTCCCTGTTTAAAAGTACATAAGAAAAACTGACCATATTATTTTGGTAATCAAGTTTTCAAAACTGCTAACAAACAGATTGTTTGTATAGACATAGCCAATGGAAATTGATGGGATCGTTCAGATCCTTTAAACAGTTTCTTCACATCTACTTGTCAGCTCCCTCTAACTCCTGTGACTTTGCCTCAAATCTATGGGCATTTTAGAATGTTTCTCTGGCTTACTTTATCTAGATAATTGTTCCATATATCCACTTTGCTGGTGTATAACTAACCACTGGAACAGAGTACCACAGTTCAATGCGATCACACTTTACTACAGAGAAGTGCTATTTCTACTGTATCTCCAAATCACATTTTATCCAACAGAAGTGGGTTTTGGCTTGCATTGCTTTTAGGCAGAGGTTTGTAATAGCGAGAACCTTATTTGTGTTATACACACGCACACGCATACACACGCGCATGCACACAATGAAACTTAATAGCATTTGATTGTTCTGTCCTTAGCCCTTCCTCTTTTTGGGTAATTATTCGATCATTTTTAAGGAAGGAGGAGAAGTAACTTCAATGGAAAGAAACTTCCTGAGATATGGTGAGGAATTTCTCAAATAAGTTGCCACGACAGTATCTCCTGTAGCACAATTGTTAATACTGAAAGCCCTCAGAATTTCAGGTTTCTGGTTTGAAGAAAAATAAAGCATTTAGGTTCGAAAAGAACATACCTGTAAAAATAAAAATACACATTTTTAGTGAATTAAACCTGCATACTTTGGATTTATTGCATACTTGAGCTATTACTATTCATATGCTAGTATGTGGTTTTAGGATTTCCATCTGTAGGCTACATGGTGGTCCAGAGAAGAAGATACTGGTAGGTGGTTTTGAGAGCTTTACTCTTAGAAAATGAAACAAAGGAATTAGTTGCTTGGAATGACACAGGCTGCAGGCTAGGGTGCTCTGGCATTTTTAAGCTCAGTATTTGTTTTAGCCCTACTCTTGAGTGCACTTGTACCTGATACTTGTTTATTTGGTCTGAGTTGTAGTCATTCATTTTTTTAAAGATCTACCATCAATGTTTGTGGTACTTGAGACTCATGTACATATTAAGGATTATAATGTTTTAATATAAAATTAAGTGGAATGCCCTTATGCCAGAAGCTGGCTTTGTCCTCTGGTGTGAAAAGCTGTGAAAGCTTTGTAGAAACTTCCGGTTACTACACAAATAAAAGGCAAGTTGTGTAGGAACGGGAAGAGCCCACCGCCTTTGACCGCTGTAATCAATCAACTTTCCTCAGTCCATAACTGTAACACACACTACCCTCATTCTGGACCCTCAAAAAGAAAAGCCTTTTTCAGAACTCTCCAAATGACTCGATAGAACCAAAAAGACCAAATGAAGAAGTAGCTAAGAATGGCCTTCAGTGTAAAGGTCATTTTCACCAATTTGCAGTATATTTTGCCCTCTGACGTCATCTATGAGCGGGTTTCAGGGAATCTAACATCCCAGGAGCTGCACCTCAGCACACGCACACACACGTAGCAAGGCCATACCCTTGGTGGCACTTGAACGAGTAGGTGGCAGTGTACCTTTTATTTTAGCCTAGGGTGGCCAACCACAGTTGAGCTGGGCTTGGCCACTTTATGCCTTTCCCGCAAAGCACTCATTCCCCAAAATACTCATTGCCACCAACTGCCTTCCAATTTAGAAACCTTCTTGACAGTTCTCCGGTCTTACACAACCCTTAAAACTGAGCCTTGGAAGACAAGACAAACAAGAGGCTTTGAGGTACTTAGATGGTGAGGGTGTAGTAAGAGACAGATGCAAAAGCTTGTAAAGAATGAGTATGGACAAACACTTTTGAACATAGGGGGCGAAACCACCAAATTGTCAAACTCTTTAGATGACCAAACTGAGATGGGGTTCCCCAATAATTAAAAAAAAAAAAATGTAGTTCCTGAAATAAAACACTAACATCACCATTTTTTCACTCAAAAAAGTCTAGAAGTGCCACAGTGTATGCAAACTAGCTCTGAACAAACTGTAATCCTTTTGCACAGTTCGGGTCAAATTCCGTTTGAGTTTCAGATCACAGCAATTTCTCACCTTGTGATCACTGTGTTGATAAGCTCAACAGAGTGAGACTCAAAGGCTACATTTTAAATTGTGCACTATCACTGATTGACTTTTATAAATATGCCCTTATGATCAGTTACCAGCCTTGATCTCTCCAAATTTTATCTAAGGAAGAAAATGACTTTGTTCAAACTCTACATCAAAGAGAAAGAAGAGGTCAAGTTGGGGGAGGGGAGTATAGAAGAAAGCTAGATTCTATACCTGGTATCGTGTTTTAGCCTCAAAAATGTGGAATAAACGTATCAACTGAGATTATAAAAGGAGACTGATCATTTTCACACGCATGCTGGAACATATGTGCCCAAATGAATGCGGTTCTTCAAACTAATCACCTTAAGCCACACCCATGTGTGAAGGCTGCCGTTACTCAAACCATCGTGGACTTCTGCTTTTGGGAAGCCTTTAAAAATCCGTAATATTCTCAATGGTAGAAATATCCTCAATGGTAGAAAACTATGATCCTGTAAGACAAAATTTTTAGAAAGCAACAGTCAAAAGTAATTTTTAGGTCCATATTTGGTCAAAAATTGGCGTGATCCAGCAGAGTTCTAATTTTTCTGGTTCAAGCGCTAATACATAATAAGCACTTCATTAGGTACAAGTATAAAATGAGACAGTTTCTTGTGTGATTTGTAAAGCGACCTGACACTCTTTGGAAACCAGTTAATTTTTTTTCTTACCAACTTTATTATAGAGTAATAACTGGTGTACACTTGCCTGCATCCTTACTTTAATGTGTGCAATTCAGTGAGTTTTCACAGTTGTATCTATCCCTGGAGCCATCACCAACATTAAGATGCAAAACTTTCTGGGGCACCCGGGCGGCTCAGTCGGTTAAGTGTCTGACTCGTAATTTTGGCTCAGGCCATGATCTCACAGTTCATGGGGTTGAGCCCCACATTGGGCTCTGCGCTGACAGCATGGAACATGCTTGAGATTCTCTCTCTCTCTCTCTCTCTCTCTCTCTCTCTCTGAAAATAAACCTTAAAAAAAATTCCAACATCCCCAAAGAGACCTTGTCCCTCTTAGCAGTCTGAAATCTAGTTTTAGACCTGCTTGGGACAGCGAGTGGCAGTCTTACTGAAATATGTGCATCTAAAGCCTCCCGAGGAGGAAACATTAAAGAACACCACATTTAGGTATACAACCTCCACGGATTTGGGAACAACCATGACTGAACCCTTAAAACATTTGTGTTTAATAGTGACACACATTCCAAGTTCCAACAGCTTGTTATAAACCCAGCATTGGCTTCCAAAACCTTATTTGATGCATTAGAAATGTACTTCATGATGCAGAGGTTCTGACAACTAGGCCGTTGGCAGGAAGAAGGGGCAGTAAAGAAAAGCCCCAGCCTTTGGAGAAATAGAGGGGGTGGGTGTTCGTTGAACTTAGGAGGATCTCTGGCAGCAGAAGTAGGAGGCGGCTCTAGAGGGAGGATGGCGGCAGCTAGCTGAATGTTCAAGTCATTTGAAAATCACATGTATTTCCTGTGTAGGGTCTAGTTATATTAAGGTAAAGCTTTATCACTTCATGGTCACACCGTGCAGGACTTCCTTTTACAACATATATTAAGTGATCAGTTTCAACAACCAAAGCAATGGAGCCTGTAGTCCAACAAGCACAGCGATAACTGTACTTAGTATACTTGAACAGGAGAAGCAGAACTCTGAAGTGTCTAACAGGAGCATTGGAACCAATGACACTAAAACGAATGTCGTGGGAGCTCATCAGGAAATCTCTAAACCCAAAGGGTTGAACACATTAGTCTCTGGCTTTCTTAATGCTAAAGGCAATCCGATTGGACAAATTATTAGCTATGAAATTTTTAACTATTCAAACTGTTACTTTAACATAGTAAAAGTAAACCCAAATGTTTTATGTCAACTGTAAAGGTAAAGACTTTCTCAAGGACATTTCAGTATGAATAAACACATCCTTCTCAAGCGAAAACATTTTCTTTTTGTTTCTTATAACATGGGAATGCACACCAGTGGTAGTATTCAAGAAAGTATCAATATTTAAACCTTTCACAGAATTGTTTCCAGATTTCTCAAAAACGTGGTTGAAACTGCGACTGAAGAGCTTCTGCCTATTCAAAACAATAAATGTAGTTTGGAACTAACATTTGACGCAAGACAAAGAATTGTAAAGAACACAGGTGGTGTTTAATTCACTTTCTTAACCTAGTTGACAGCCCCAATCACACATTGCCATACAGAAAATGTCTGCATCGAACTCAAGATGAAAATTGTATCTCTTGGGCTTAATCATGAAAAGGGAAAATTCCAAATGTGTTTGTGTAAATGTCATTTTGGCTTTGCAGACAACAATTTTAAAAGCTAAAACCTCCTTGAGTAACCTTACTTTTATTTAAATACTTTCTGTAAGAAGTGCAAAGTTAGTGTCATCTTTAAATGTGTTAAAAATACTGTACAAAATGGTTTTGTGTATTTTTAGCTTCAGTATAAACAAAAATAAAGCATTGACTTTTTCCCCTGAAATGAATGGCTGCTCAGAATTAAGGTGTTTTGTTTCTCCGTTTTCCAATTGTTTATAGCCGCCTATTATTAACAAACATTTGTGAACAATGGATTTTACACTATAATTTAACCAAGAGACACTTCAGGGAGACCTTTGCAGTCCAATATATTTTGAAAAGTAGATGATTGAGAATAAACATTATTAATGTCCTGTTATACTTACCATTAGAGCTATTAAATATTTAAAAATTGAATAAGCACTCATAAAGAACTTTGAGATAATGACACGAAGAGACCAATATTTATAAAGCTATAGCTCGCACACTGAGAAACCTTACAGGCCTTATCCTCAACATTTTTTATTCTTTATTGAGTACCCAAAGTACAGGTTGTGCAGAACAGTTTGAATCCGTGGGCCAGTAGACAAAGTGAGGTTAGGCTGGTCATTATTACACTGGTATAATCTGAGTACATTTGGGTAATATTTCCTCAAGTATCAGTTGATGCTTTTTTTTTTGTAGTAAGACCTTTCAGCAATTAGCTTTCCCCTAATTAATTCAGATCCCTGAAGTTTGCTTGTATTTTAATAACTAACATTAACTTTTAGGCCACCAGAGAACTGGTTAGCATACCAGAACAGCTTAACTTTCAGCCAAATAACTCGCTTCCAAGTCCTGGACTAATTATTTAAACTATGATTGGGTGTATAACATACACATTAGTTAGGTAAGGACACCTAAATAGGCAGTAATATAGCTGAAAAAGATCTGCAACTGGCATACGAAATAAACCCCTATAACTCAATAATAAAAATACAACAAATTTGAACACACTTCAATAAGGAATGTATACAACTGGCAAATAAGCACATGAAAAACTACTCAACATGATCTTGGGAAATACAAATTAAAACCTCAGTGAGAGGGGGGCCTGGGTGGTTCGGTCAGTTAAGTGTCTGAACTGATACTCTGATTCATTTATAAACATTTTGAAAAATAAACTAAACCGTGAAGGGGGGAATCAGAAGGAACAGTGGTTGCCTAGGGTACACCCCAGCTGGGGTGACAAGAGATTGACTGGGAAGGGGCATGAGGGAGTTTCCTAGGGCGAAGGAGATGTTATCTTGACAAAGGCTGGAGATTCACAGATGCAGGATTTGTCAAAATTCATTGCATCAAAAACTTCAAGATTTGTGTATTTCATCGCATGTAAATTTTACCTCAAAATAAAAAAAGTGAACCTTTAATAAATACTAAATTCTAGCTAACAATATGCATGCTGAAATGTTTAGAAGTGAAATGTACTTGAGTCTGCAATTTTCTTTGTAATGCATCAAACACCAAGGCTTTATAGATGGATATGTGAAAAGCCGAGTAAAATGTTAATTGTAAAATCTAGGTGGTGGGTACACAGATGCTCACTACACCATTACTTCAGTTTTCCTGTTTGTTTAAACTTTTTCATATTAGGGGCGCCTGGGTGGCTCAGTTGGTTAAGCATCCGACTGTGATTCAGGAGTTCGAGCAGAGCTTGGAGCCTGCTTCTGAATCTGTGTCTCCCTGTCTCTCTGCCCCTCTTCCCTGCTCGCACTGTTGGCCTCTCTCTCAGAAGTAAATAAATGTTAAGAAAAAATTAGGGGCACCTGGGTGGCTCAGTCGGTTGAGCGTCTTGACTTTGGCTCAGGTCATGATCTCGTGGATCGTGAGTTCGAGCCCCGTGTCGGGCTCTGTGCTGACGGCTCAGAGCCTGGAGCCTGCTTCGGATTCTG